GGTGGGGTGTTAGTTTTGTTTTGTTAAAATATTTTCTGCTCTGCACATTTGTGCTAAATGTGTTAGATGTTGTTTTCTACTTGGAGATTTGACACTGGAGTTGTGGGGGGGGTTAGTTTTTGTTTGTTGTTTTTAAAAATATTTTCTGTCCTGAATAGCTGCGTTAAATCTGTCAGGCGTTATTTTCTTCTCGGAGATTTTTACGTTGCCAGAAATCCCAGGCTCCTTCAACAAACCGTAGCGTTTTGCAACGGGAGGGTCGCCGAGTACTTATAAATGGTAACCCCCAGACAAGAGTTTGGGTGTATTGCAGAGAAAAGAGTTCGTGACCCGCAGTTTTCGGGCAGGAGCAGTATCCGGTGAAGCCATCATCGTCGTCGTGGTCGTCCTGGTCACGCGGTGACCCCTCCTGTCTAAGCAGAGCCGGGCGTGCTCAGCAGAACAGAGCTATTGTTGCTGCTGTTGTTGTTGTTCTGCCCGGGCTATAATTTTGCGAAGTACTTCGGAGATTAGAAAAATAGTCGGTGCCCCAAGGGTTTATTGCTCTGCCACGTAAACATGGCAAATGAAGGAACATGAACGTGCTGGCACGCTGTAGCTTCCTTGAGAGCAGTTGTCACTGGAGCAGAGTATCTCAAGGGAAATGCGAGCCAGAAATCCATAGACGATCTATTTTCAATCAGTTGATTTCTTGTTCTTTTTTTTAAATGGCGTCTCAACGTTCTTGAACCGTATTCTTGCTAGATTGATGAGTGTGCTATGTGCTGTGGCCTGTCTTGCTTCAAAAATGCATGCTTTGAAAATAAAGATGTGCGGTTGACATTTAGATGTAGAAAGGATGAGGGGGTGGGGGAGTAATTTTCTAACAGGGAATGTGTCAGGTTTAAATCTGTTTTATCATATGTTGCTATGCATTGTGATGACAACAGCTAATATATATCAGTCCCTTATGACTATGAAAAGAAAATGGTTTGAGTTTATAATCGCAGAGAATATATTCAGTTTCAGGAACTAGTGGAGTGATGGTCTGTGCCATCAGAAAGTAGCCTTCAGGATAGACTTGTGCACCTGAATCATCCAGCGTGACTTTTAGGTTACAAGGTTGTGACAGGCTGGAAATTCTGCTTTTAGATTTTTTTTCTTCCCCTGAAATTCAGTTAGTAAATTGTGTATTAGGCGTTCTCAATAACTGGCTGGCCCATATTTGGCTGATCTTATATATTATCCATATACATTACTGTGACTTAAGCCTGCTTCTGCAGACATTTGTGTATGTGCTGATTTTTCCTTTGTGCCAGCAGCACTCCCGTAGCCAGTAGTAGAATGTATGTAAAGTGTCTGCAGGAGCGTGGCCTGCACGTGGTGGACTTTGTCTTTAGATTTTTGGTGTTTCAGGAAAAAGATGCTTATTTAGGAAGCCTAAGGACATCAGTGATGAATGGTGGAAATTCAAGATAGAAAAGAAATGTGTTCTCTGTGCCAGCACCCAACCTGCATTGTGAATTGTGTTAGCAGGCTTCTGTGCCTACAGGGAGCCCTGTCTCGGTGACAGTTCTGAACTGAAGTCAGTCCCCAGTAAATAGAAGATAAAAATAATATTTACTGCATGTGATTTGCTTCCTAAAGCTCACTTTTTGGAATCTTTAACCCCCGTGATTGGTCCAGCTACCAGATAATTTGATCAAAAACAGCTAGTGATCATAGGGTGTTCTGCTTTAATCTTATTGTTTCCTCACTGAGTTCAAGGTCTGCTGTAGTATTTGATGGGTTCAGAGCAGACGGTTCAGAATGAAATCCCCAGCCTCAGCCCAGCCCTGTTAGACTGGGGGGTATGCGCTGGAGCAGTGAGAAGTGGCTGACTGCAGGAGCTGTGAAGGCTGACCTCGGGTTCCCTTATGAGCAAGGGTCCTAGTTTTCTCTGTTTAAAAATCTCAAATTTTGGAGTTTAAATTTTTTTTCTCCCAAACTCTGATTAAAGACCCAAAATTTGTGTTTTTCTGTGATTAAAACAAAATGCCACTATATATATATTGGTATCAGTAGAACTCAATGTTTTATTGATATAAAATGTTTTATTGATATATTTATTGGTGATATATTTAACACTTTAAAGCAATTTGGAAGCCTACCACAGCCTCAATCATTATAATAAAAGAAATACTAAATACCTATATATTTTGGCATTTGATTTTGGTTTTTTATCATGGAAAATTGGAGCTTCCTCTGTCTCTTTCACATGGGTCCAGCTGCGGCTGTCCTTCTCAAATTGCTTTGTGGTGCTGAGCAGCTTTGTCCTGCCCCTGCCACTTTCCCTCATTCCCAAGCCACAGCCCCCCGGCCTTGCTGGTGTCCTTAGCTCCTGACTCACTGCTCTCTGCCCCCAGGCCCTTACCCTACCATGTGTGAGGAAGTGGGGGGGGTGAGGCACAGGCGATGGAGCAGAGGGGCATGTGTTCCCTCCCCCTCCAGATTTCTGTGCCCACAGGGGGGCATGGGGCTGCAGCCAAGCCAGATCAGCCCCAGGCAGGAACCACTTCTGTGGCCCAGTGGATGGGACCCGACACAGGAGGGAGCACCGCTCCATGGCTGTCAAGGTGAGGTGCGGCAGCCCGGAATTATGCCCCTGCTGCAGCTGGGCGGGCAGGGGGAGCCTCACCTTGGGATGTGTGTATGGTGAACAGGGCCATCAGCGCCATAGAAATTCTGAGCTGCAGTGAGCCCCATAAGTAGGGACCTACTGAATTCAAGGCAGAAATAGGCTGCACAGCGGCTCCTTTAAACTTGCAGGTTTCCCTGTGCACCCCCTCCTCTGTTACTGATGGGTTGGGGGACCCTGATGGGCCTGCTGCTTGCTGCTGACTGGCTAGGAGGCACAAATGGCACCATATTTAAAACCGCAGTTTTCTCCTCCCTGCTGATCAGCAGCAACTGGCAGGGCCACTCTGCCAACTGGTAGCGCAGGGGAACCTGCAAGATTAAAGGAGCCTCCCTGCAGCCCACTTCCGCCATGAATTCCCTACCCATGAGGCAGGCTCAGAAGGCTGCTGTAATTCAGACTGGCCTCTAGCCTCCAAAGTGGTTCAGGACAAAGAGGGTGCAAAGGTGGTTTAGAGCAAAGGTTGTTAATGTTTTTAGGCAGAGTGCCAAAAACCTGCAACCTCAACTTGTAAGATGTTGGCGTGCCAGGAGCAGATGGTGGGGGAGCTGCAAAGGGCCTGATCCTTGTTGTGTCAGCACAGCCCTGGCCACTTCCCTGCCATCTCCCCCTGGAGGTGTGTGCACCAAACAAAATGCCTTTGTGTGTCACGCTCACTCTGGCACATGAGCTGGAGGTTGCCTATCCCTAGTTTAGCGCCACTTGAGCTTGTTCCCCAGGGTCCTGAGTTCAATGCAGCAGAGACTCTTCTCAGACCACAAGCTGAGGTACAGTAAATGTGCCCACCAGGAAAAGGATGAGGCTTTTAAAAAGCTTATTAAAGCCATATGTGTAATTGAAGCTGAGGCTATACCTTTTTTTTTTCCAGCAGTTGAGTGAGATCTCAAGTTGTTTGCTTACACACACTGCGTGTCTTCAGTGTAGAGCTTAAACCCATGTAGGAAATAGTGGGTACACACTCCTTCAGTAGCATTTTTCCCCAGAGGTGCTTGGTGAAGGTGTATGTCAGGGGTGGTAATTATTTTGGCTGGAGAGCTGCTTAACGAGTTTTGATGAGGCATCGAGGGCCATGAGGGTAGCCCACCCCTGGTTGCCATTTTGTGACTGGAAGTCCCACTCCTAACCCCTGACCTTTGCCACCAGAAGTCTTTCCCCTTGCCCAGGAAGTACCTCTTAGCAGAGGTTGCTTGTATATTGTGTGTGTGGAGGGGTAGAGGGTGTATGTGGGGTGTGTGTCAGGTGTGGGTATGGTGCAAGTGGAGTGTGTGGGAGGGGTGTGTGTATGTAGATGTGAGATAGGTGTGGGGTGGATATGGATGAGTATGGGGGTGTAGGATGTGTGGGACAGTTGGATGTGTGTGTGGGTACAGTAGGGGAGTGGGGTGTGGGTGTGTGGGGTATGGGTGTATGTGTGTGGATGTGGGGTGTGTGTGGTTGAGGGGTATGGCGTGGGTATCTGTGGGGTTGGGGGTGTGGGTGGATGTGGGGGGTGTGGGTATGGTGGGGATGGGGTGTGTGAGGGGGTGTGGGTGCATGTGGTTGGGGTGTGTTGGGGGCTTCTTCGCTCCCATCTGCTGTTTGTGACATGGCTGAGCCTAGCCCCTCCACAGGCAGGGCAAATGGAAGGGAAATCAGCGCTGCTTGCCTGGTGCTCAGCATGCTGCAAAGGTTGCTAAGCCCTAGGAGAGGGGAGTGGGAGACAAGGAGCCCGAGCCTGGCACCCTTGGTGTCTCTCCCACACCTGGGAATTAGCTGCTGCACACCTGGGACAGCTAATTTCTGTCCCA